ATTTATCCACGTGTTTTCTCTGTTTACACACGGAATAACCTCAATAGTCGGGACTGACCTTTGGCATGTGTCCCCGGTCTAGATAATCTTGGATTACCGCTCGATAATCGGCTTCAAAGCGCCTGTCGCGCTGGAATCGGCGGTTGAGGGATGCGAGTCGTTTCATCGCCAATGTTTGCAAGCCTTTGTGTGATGAAGTTCATGCTGGATCCGGTGTCGAGGAGCGCACGGCACTGGATCGGTTGCTGCTTGTTGGTTAATATGTGGACTTGGGCTGTGGTCACTATGTCATTATGCAATACCTCGGAAGATGCTGGTCGGGTATCTTCGGTCCTGGTCGGGGTTCTGGATTTTTGGCGTCATTGCTTACGCGTGTGTCCGTTTCGAACTGTCGGATGAACTGGTGGGCGAGTTCCCGAATTGGGCTTCTTCGAGGTTTTCCGCTTACCGGTAGGTGACGGGGGCGATGCTGTTCTCCTGCTTGACGAGGAGGGACTTCGGCTCGAGATGGAGGAATTCGACCTCGACGACTGTTTTTCCGGATGTAGCAGCGTGTGATGTCGTCCTCCGCACACTCGACATGAGCCGGCGTGACAATCACGTGCAATGTGCCCCTTCTTCAGACAGTTCAAGCATAAAGACGCCCTTGTAGCGTCCTTTAAGCGTTTACTTACAGTTTTGGATTTGAAGGAATCGCATCGCCAGACCCGGTGTTGTCCCTGACAGGTAGGGCATACTGGAGTGGCTTGTGTCGCTGTCAATACATGCCCTCGTGAGGCGCGTTGACGGATCCAAATAGTTTGCTCCGGTGCGGCTCTTGATTGTTGACCCGGGGGAAGCGGTCTGGAGCTCCGTGCTAATTTCTCGAGAAATTTTAGCAAGAGACTATACTGAGGCACTTCGTGGTCAGACAGAGTCATTTCCCACTGTTTTTGGATACTTAGTGGTACCTTCGACAAAATGATGCAGTTAAGGAGAGCACTGTTGTCGGGGTTGACTTGACCTAATTTGTTTAAAGCACATATGTGTTGCTTGATAGTGTGGGCTAAACGCCTTAATTCCGTCGGGGAATCGTTGGTTAATCTGGGGTAATCAAGTATTGACATGCAGTGGCTGGATGCGGTGTATCGAGGACATTCGAAACTATCCTTGAGAACGGTCAGAGCCTGACTGTAATTTAGATTGTTCAGGGGTAACGCGTTCAAGCAGTCCGCTGCCTCTCCCTGCAAAGCGGACTGCAGGCAGTGGAATTTCTGTATGTCCGTGAGATCAGGATTTCGATCTATTGTAGATAAAAAGGTGTCGTAGAATGTGCTCCACTTCTCTACGCTTCCATCAAATGGAGGAAGCCGAAGATCCGGTAATTTGATCGCGACTGGATTCGAGGTCGCTGATGAATCGCCGCTGGGGTTACTTACAGCTATCGACGGGGTCGATCGTTGCTCATTATGTATCAGTCTTTCCAAGCGAGCTCCCAAGGCTAGGTAGGCGCGTGCCGTCTCTTGTTCCACCGTTGTGTCTTCTTCGTTACCTCATCGTGGACGAGTCGGAACCGTCTCCATTCTTCCTCGAGTTGGGTTTGATATTTTCTCGCGAGGAAAACGTCAAGCTCCTCAGCTTGCTGATACTGATCAATGTCGCGCTCCAGGGCCTTGATGTTGCCGATGCAGTTGGTGCGTTTTTGCCGCATGGCATTGAGCTTTACTGGAGTCGGCATGCTTAGTGATGTAGACCAACTTACTTGTGTTGAATCTTCTATTGGACGATTGTTCCGCTACGTCGGGGCGATGCTTGGCTGCGTGCCTCGACCAATGGGTTATGTTTCTTCGAAGGTGACGCTCCTGACGTCACTGACTTCGATGGCGTGATACACTCTTGTTGCTGGACACACTATGGACACGTGGCACTGTGCAGTCACTTGCAGTTTCACTTTTCGTTGGCACGTGATCCGGCTCGAAGGACCAAATGTTTTCGCACGTTCGCGGGGAGACGCGATCTCGAAGAAACGCGCCAACGGGAGTCGTAA